AATCAAATCCAAAATAGATAAGGACAAGTAAAGATAATTCTATATGTTCACAGTCATTTGAGAATTGTTACTAGTCAGACCAAGACAGGCTTTTTGACCCATTAATTTGGTCAACATTATTTTAAATAGATAAATTTAAAAAAATTAAGTGTCAAGATTTGTCGAGGAAGTACTGCAATAAAAGTGTTAAGATGATTTTATTTATGGGTAGTTTTATATTTAAAACATAACAGGAATGCGTGAGTGATCGTGTTGAAATATCTGCATGTGTTGGTGTTTAATTATGCTGGGAAGTCTACAATTTAGGGTTAGCTGCTAACCAAGGAATTCCTTGTGCAATATCCTGCATAAGTGAGAAATGAGTAATTTAAAGCAGTCTGGGGGCAAATTTAAATTACACATTTTAAATATAACTTCAGGCTTTTAAATAGAAACACGTATGTGTAGTTTTCCTTTCCACAGCTGTGGTCTCAGTGGGTCTGCTGGTGCTTTTGCAGTAGCCCTTTCCAGTCCCATGGGACTTGCATTTCTTCATGATGTAGAAGTTCTCTCCCAAAGGAATTCTATTAACATGTACAATTAACAGTACAATTCTAATCTAAACTAATGCTATTTTCCTAAATATGATGAGCACAGGCCCTAATGATTTAGTTTGTTTGCCTTACCTAAAGAAAAAAAACATGTAGGCTCATAATTGCGTAAACTAATCTTGAAGTAATGGGCAGCTGGAGAAGACTTGCTTTTCAGCGTCAAGTGTTAGTATAAATCCATAAAAATACCCACATGGACAAGAAGTTCCAGGAAGCATACCATCCAGCAGACAAATATGTACCGATGAATTAATGACAGAAAGCAAGACATATTCTATGAAGCTATAGATTAACCAAGAATTCTCCGTAAGATCACAGACAGGTTCTGCTAGATACCTGAATGCAGGACTGGAACCATGCATTTATTCCTTCCTAAAAGGAAAGAGCTCCTCTACAACAGTAGTCAAATCCATGGCTTCTTTTAAAAGTAATTTAAAGAACTAGTCCATTTTGGTGCTCTCAAAGTTGGCCCAACTTAGTCTGAATGTACCACACACAGACTTCGTCTCTGAAGGACTTATGCTATTACAGAATCAAGCTAACATTTACCACACACACATGTCAAGTGCTTCAGGATCATTTGGGAGGGACATCAACAAATAGCTGAATCCCTTTCACGGGAAGCTCAAACTAAAAAAAAAAATCACAGTAAGGTAAATACAGAATACCACAAACTGAACATGTCCTAAGCTTATGTTTTATTATCATTACTGCTTAGAAACCACTTACTTGGCAACAGTTCTCTGTCTGCTGTTTCTGTGCAGCTCGGATAGGGATAGAAAAGATGACCTTTCTCTAACGGGTATGGGATCATCCTAAATGCTGAAAAAAGAGTGAGTGACATTAGATCTGTATCTAAACCAAGCGACCAGCTTCTCACAAAGAGAACCAATCGTGTTTGAGGTGAATAAAGGCAGAGAGATTAGTCTACTGTACAGAAAAAAAAATAAAACAAGGAGAGATACTTACTGCCTTCCCATGTACAGTGTAGCAGATTTAGAGCCCCTTCTATCCTCTTCCAGTGCTGGAGGTGGAAAAAAGCATATGCTACTGCCTCACTGTCCCCTCGTTTCAGAATATGCTCTGGAGGTAGCACTAAGCTTTTCATTTCTAGTAAATACTGAAAGTAAAAATGGAAAGGACACTTGGTGACATGGAATATTCCAAAATCTTTAATTGTGAAACATAAATGATCATTTGAGGCATAACTAAGCATATCACACAGGGGCCACCTTCTACCTGTTAAAGAAACAGCCCAATCCTGACACAGCACATGCAGCCTGTACTTGCATGGGAAGTGAAAAGCAGCAAAGCACATGTCCGTGTACAACACTCTTAAATCAGGGTTTTCACATGCAAAATATCAGGACAAAAAAAAAAAATCCATCTTCAGTAAGGCAAAGTAAAAATACATTCTTGTGGAATATACGGAAAGTATAATGCCACAGGTACAACATCAATGAGCTACACTTGTTGGCTAATAAAAAAAACAAACAAAATCAACAAACTAGTTTTTTTTGCTCATCATTTAATCGCTGAAAGTTTCAATGTAGGAGGCTAAGTACTTGTTAGCTCTCAAGTATGAGTAGCAAACCAGAAAGTGTCAGTATGCTAACCAAAGGAAGAATAATAAACCAACCCCAGGAAAATCTTGTTTCAATGTGGTTTTGCTAGACTACCACAAAGTATCTCTGCTTTCAGATTTTTTTCAATTTCAGCTTTCTCCCTACATCAGCAGAGTATCTGATGGCCAGAAGGGTCAAAGAACACAAGGATTAATCATTTTCCATTTTCCTTGAAACACAGGACATGCAATTTTGTTTTCTGATGGTACATTAGAAAGACAGGTATTCATTTGAACTCAGCTTTTAAAAACAAATGAGTAATTTTTACAAGAACGAAATGACAGTTTCAGCTCTAGTGTTTACCTGCAAGTTGTTCTCTCCTAGCATATAGTGTCTCATTCAATAACAGCCAAAGTTAATCCACATCTTTGATCAATGTAGCTGGCAATTCCTTTGACTGTCTCCCAAAGTGTAAGAATGCAGCTAACTCGCCGATTTATTTCAGCAGATGCCACAAACTATGAGATTATTTACTAATCCAGTTTGAGGACTTAACTTTTCCCATTCAGATTCTTGAAGGAATGTAGGAGGGGTTGTGCCCCGGCCAAATAAAGCACATTTACTGCCTGGCTAGGTTCTTCTCTTAGTGCCTTGGGCCTACACTCCGGAGGGTAATATTCTTGCTAATCCCCTCTAATCCTCTTCAATTTTTTTTTTTATTTTTTTTTTTTAACACAGTAAAGGATCAATCACACAGGGCTGCTGTGGGAAAATGGTCTCAAATATCTGACCCCTGACCTGACTCCTCACGCTCTCCGCAGTGCCCACTCTTCCATTGTACTAACTGCGCAGAGAGCAAGGGAACGTCAAGGCAGTCGTGACGATGAAGCCCCGCTGCAAGCACTGCTACAACGTGCCAACGCTGAACTCCACACTTTGGCTGTCTCTGCGCCCATGTTACTACATAAACAGAAAAATTCCACAGGTTTTCATGGTAGGTTTTCATGTCCGTGTTTAACCATAAGACAGGCAAGGTATCAGTACTGAAAATATCTTGGGGTTTGCAAATTTAAGAAAGTCTTTCTACGCAATAAAAATTTGTAAGGTATTCAGAAGGTGATTGGAAAAGATTGTTTCACGCATTACTGAAATGTAGTTACAGATCTCTAATCTGAAATGGCTTAAGAGTACCGGTTTTCTAGCACTGTAAAATGCCTTCCTAACTTTCCAAACAAAACCCATCCTTGTAAAAGCATAACTCAGAACAAAGAGAAACAAACATTATTTTCCTTATGCAAAATGATGTTATGTGCAAAGACAACCACTTTCATCAGATGCGAGAACAAAGGGATTTCTACTTTACATACTCATTTCTTTTTAGTCCATGGGACAGAACAGACTGCAAATTCAAAAACCAGATTTTCTTCCCCACTAGTCCACCGTAACCCATTGGGCAAGTTACTTCACTTGTTTGCTTTGACTACGAGCATTCTGGAGCTCTAGATAGCCAGCACCAATAAAATCCTACCCTGCCATCTATTAAATTGCTGTTTCAAGGCAATATTGTAATAAAAAAAATCATGAAGACGACTGTATAGGTATACAATTAGAAGAGAAGATCAAATTACTGAAACCTGGAATCAGTTTCCGTGATTGTCTGTAGAACTATGAAACATATTTTGCAAACAGCCTGTTTGAAATGATATCTAACTTCTTTAAAAAGGTACATAAGGCTCCTGAAACAACTGAAGGATATACAAAATAAAAGAACTTTTAGATAATGATAATGCGTTATAATCTTCTTCCCCTAAAGGCAGAGGCTAAAGAAAAATCTGTCTGAGACTGTCTGAAATGAACTTGCTACGCTCTTGATCAGTCATGCAAACAAGCAGCAATTTCTCCCAGCAATTAGCTTTCTCAGTGCACATTCTATTAGATTGGACAGGCAGACAGAATAGAGCGGCTGGATAATTCGAGCCTTCACAGCAATAGTCATTCGGACTCCATGATCATTTGCAGAGGATTAGGTCCAGGACTAAGCCAACCTTCTGCATTCAGGGTTTCAAACTGAATGCATTACAATACTAGTACAGTAAAAAGCAACGTAAGATTTTATTTTCACCCAATGCTCAGTGGAATCTGTATCTTGGCCGCTTCAAGTAATGCCAGACATTAAATTACAGCCTGTAGCAATACTGACTCTTAATCTTGTTTACACGTGGATGAAGAAAATAAGTGACTGTAGATCCTTCAATAACCTGAGTTCTGAAGCCACGCATGGAAGCACAGCAGAAAAAAATACTTTGAAATAGAATCATAGAATGCTTTGGGATGGAAGGGACCTTTAAAGGTCATCTAGTCCATCCCCCCTGCAATGGGCAGGGACATCAACAACCAGATCAGGTTGCTCAGAGCCCCGTCCAGCCTGGCCTTGAACGTTTCCAAGGATGGGGCATCTACCACCTCTCTGGGCAACCCCTTCCAGTGCTTCACTACGCTCATTGTAAAAAATTTCTTCCTTATATCCAGTCTGAATCTTCCCTCTTTTAGTTTAAAACCATTACCCCTTGTCTTATCGCTACTGGCCCTGCTAAAAAATCCCTCTCCATCTTTCTTATAAGCCCCCTTTAAGTACTGAAAGGCTGCAACAAGGTCACCCCGCAGCCTTCTCTTCTCCAGGCTGAACAGCCCCAGCTCTTTCAGCCTTTCCTCACAGGAGAGGTGCTCCAGCCCTCGGATCATTTTTGCGGCCCTCCTCTGGACCCTCTCCAACAGGGCTATGTCCTTCTTGTACTGAGGACCCCAGAGCTGGACGCCGTGCCCCA